AGCTATTCACAGAAATAATCAAGGAGAACTTCCCTAATATGGGAAAAGGTAAAGATACTCAGATGTATGAGGCATACAGGACCCCAGGCTCCTACAAACCAAACAGAACTACACCCAGGCATAGAATAATCAAAATTCCAGAAATCCAATATAAGAACAGAATATTAAAAGCTGTCAGAGACAAGAAACAAATCACTTACAAGGGAACACCCATTAGAATTACAGCAGACTTCTAGCTACAAACCATCAAATCACAAAGAGCATGGGGAAAAATAATTCAATCTTTGAAAGACAATAACCTCCAGCCAAGATTGATATATCCTCACAACTGTCCCTAGAAATTAATGGAGAAACAAGTTGCTTCCAGGATAAACAGGAACTAGGAAAATTTGCAACCACCAATTCAGCTCTACAGAGAATACTGCAGGACATTCTAAAAGAGAAAAATACCAAGATTCCAGAAACAGAGGCAGAGAGGCCACAATGAATGGAGCAGAAAGCAAAATGAAGGAGACAAACTGACAACTAATGACAGAAAAAGAGCTCAACAGAAATGAGGCAGAGAAGGTTGGATGGTAGGAACAGTATTTTGGAGAAAACAAGACATCATAATAGGTAGTGCTGATTTAATATCCTCTTGTTTTGAAGTTCCATCAAGCTTTTGTTCTTCTGTCTCCATCATTCTTAACATGTTGTATCTTATTGGATTTTATTATGTGATAATATAAACAAAAACTTATATAGACAAGATTATACAGAAACCGTTGTTCATTTTCTGTTAGTTGATTCTAAATACCCTGTAATACTGTCATTCTCTTGAATGGTTTTACATTGTCTTGGTATGTTTGATGCTACAGTATATGAAGTTATACTCAAAGATTTCAAGGAAAAAGACACTACGGTAACTACTTTTATGTCGAGATATCTTATGATGAAACACTATTTTGCTTAAATGGTTATGTTCTGACCTGTGCTGTTTTGTTGTTATGTCCTCTTTTTTCTCAATCTCCTTTTTTATTATTTATTTTTTAATTTTTATCTTATTAATTAAGGGAAAAAATAAATAAAAAATAGCAGGATACATTATAGTAATCCACTTTGATTTCCTGTTAACTTGATTTGAAGCCCTGTATTTCTCTCACCATCTTGTTTTGCCTTTTTTTACTCTATTTCATTTTGCTGGATAGTATTAAGTTTGAGAGTATAGGTAACAACTGTGAAGACAATATGTTTCACTATGATGCCCATTCTGGTTTGACTATTATCTTTTTTTGAAGTCCTGTAATGTCTCCAATGTGTTGGTTTTATTGGTTTTGTTCTGTACCATTTTGTTCAATTTTATTATACCTGATGATATGGGCAATTCTTTTTAAGATAGCAAGAAGCACTATGGTAACCATTGTTAATCACCCTGTATTCTGTTTTCACATTATGTACTATGTCCATCCTTTTGATTTGCCTGACTCTGTATTTGTTATGTAACATTTGGTTTTATTCTCTTCAAAACATTGTAATAAGAACTGTGGGAGTAATAAAACCCAAAATGTGTAATTGTCATTGTAAAAAAGAGGAAAAGAAAGTGCTTTAAAGGATATAACTGCATGTATATTTAAGCGTATAAGATAGATAACCATATTACTGAGTTTTTGTTGGATCATTGAACAGAACTGTTTGCAGTCTCACTGCTTGAATGTCTACTTTATATGCTTTAGTTTTGTAACTTGAACAACTATTTCTAAGATCACAATATGTAATCTATTAACAGGATATATTATAGTAATCTACTTTGATTTCCTATTAACAATAGTGATTTCCTGTTATTTATTTTTTTAATTCTGTATAACTTGTACCCTTTTTCTGTTTTTTTTTTCTTTTTCTCCCTAGATAAAATTAAAAAAAAAGAAATCAAATGCAAGTGAGGTTGTGGGAAAAAAGGAACCCTTCTTCATTCTTAGCGGGAAAGTTAATGGTATAACTACTATTGAATTCCACATGGAGATTTCTCAAAAAAAAAAAAAACCCTAAAACTAGAAGTTCATTCTAACCCAGCTATTTATATTTGAGGTATCTTCTCAAAAGTGTTAAAAGCATCATACTACAGTTACATATACACACCCATGTCTATAGCAGCACGATTTGTAAGAGCTAAATCTTGGAAACAGCCCACATGTCCATCATTAGCTGAATAGATAAAGAAAATGTGTTTTTTATATACAATATAGTGCTAGTCTGCCATAAAAAGGATAAACTTGAGACATTATTATGTAAATAGATGCATCTTGAGAACATAATGCTAAGTGAAATAAATCAAGTGCACGTGTTTAAAACCATATTGTCTTATATGAGAAACCAAAAGCATAAATAAGGACACAAATGCATGATATATATTGAGAAATAGGAAGAAAATGTTCAGAAGGGAAAGGGAACAAAACAGGGTAGAGAGGGGAAAGAGAAGGAATGGAATAGTGATTAAAATATTTTTTAAAGAATAGAAGAAAAATAAAAGGGACACAACTTGAGACCACACTCCTAAGCGAAATAAAACTCACATGTATAAATACTGTATAGTCTCCCTAGTGTAAGAAATGGTAGGAGTACATAAGAGTTTATGGTAATCATGATTCCCTATTACATTGCTTTGAAGCCTTATAATGTTTTCATTCATTAGTTGGAATGCTTTTATTCTATTTTGTTTGGTTTTATTATGTGTAATGGTATGAATAGCTATTTTGAAGAAAACAAGACATTATGACAGCCATTGCTGATTTAATAGCATCTTGCTTTGAAGTCCTACCATGCTTTTGTTCTTCTGTTTCCATTGGTTCTATAATTTTGTATCTTATTGGATTTTAAAGTTTGCTAGTATAAACAAATTTTTTATGGAAAAGGAGATAATATAGTAGCCCGTGTTCGTTTTCTGTTATTTGGTTCTGAATGCACTGTAATACTTTCATTTTCTTAAATGGTTTTATACTATTTTGTTATTTTTGACACTATTGTATGTGAAGGTATGCTCACTATCTCAAAGAAAGAGACATTATGGTAGCTACTCTTTTAATATTAAGTTGTCTTGTGGTGAAGTACTGTCTTGCTTACATTGTTCTATTCTGATCTGCTTTGTTCTGTCCTCTTTTGCCTTTATCTCTTTAAAATAAAAAAGAAGGAAAAAAGAATAGAAGAAAAATAATAGAAACAAATTTTTGTAAATGGAGAAAGGAAGAAAGATTGAATGGAAGATAGGGAAATGGCAAAAAAGAATTAAGATACATTATATACAGGTACAAATTCCTTATGATGAATGTGATCATTACGTATGTCAAAAATGTACCAATCACATTAGTTAAAAACAAAAATAAAGAAGGAAAAAATGTTCAGCACCTCTAACCATTAGAGAAACACAAATTAAAACAAAATTGATGTTACATCCTCCTCCAGAAAATATGACTGTCATCAAGTAATCTATAATGAGAAATGCTGGTGAGGTTGTAGGGGAAAAGGAACACTTCTATGTTGTTGGTAGGAATATAAACTAGTATAACCACAATGAAAAGTAGTATTAAGGTTTCTCAAAAACCTGAAAGTAAAAAGTCCATTCAATACAGCTAGTCCCAATCCAGGTATCTTCTTGAAAGTGTTGAAGACATATTACAGTAATACATTCATACTCATATTTATAATAGAACAACTCATAATAGTTAAATCTTGGAAGTGGTCTATATGTCTATCAACAACAGATTAATGGATAGAGAAAAGGTGACATTATATAAAATGCAGTACTACTCTGCTATAAAGAACGATAAACGAGTCATTTACATGAAAATGCACCTTGAGACCTCAGTGTTAAGTGAAATAAACTAGACATCCAAGCTTAAATATTGTATGGTTTGTCTCATAAAATAAATGCAAAGTATAAAGACCTAAACAAAGTATGGATAATAGAAAATAGGAAGATAGAGCTTTTGCAAAATGGAATGGGACCAAGAGATGGAGTGAGGGGGGAGGGCAGGGAGGGGAACGAGATGAAAACAGAAGTAAGATGTGTTATGTACATATACCAAAGTCCCATAACAAATGTAATCATTACGTATTATAAATATGTACCAATAAAAATAAAACTTTAATTAAAAAGAATTCAACTCATGCCCTTTTTTCTCTTCACTGACATTGACAGAAATAATTAAATCAGTGATTCCCAAATGAGGCTGATCAAAATCAACTGGGGTACATTTTCTACATGCAGATTCCTGGTCTCCCCACACTCTTGAGCTTGATTCATGTCTGGGGAGTGAATATAATTTTCAGTCTTTTTTCTTCTTCATTCATTCACGCATTTTGTTTTGTTTTGTGTTTTTGAGACAGGGTCTTACTACGCAGTTCAGGTTGCCCTTGAATTCACTGTAGTAGAAGCTAGCTTTAATCTTATGATGATCTACCTTCATGAGCATCCCAAGTGCTATGACTACAGGTTTGTTCCACCACTCCTATCTATGAAATGTAATTTTATAAGAACTGTATCACAAGATTCTGATTATCAGTAACATTTGAGAACTTCTGTAAAGATAGCCATTCCTAACAACCAAAACAATTAAAATAACTTAAATACTCTGAACAAGGCAAAATATTCTTCTTTCTGGGTTACCAGCTTGTTTGGTGGTCAGATTGCTATGATACTTTTAGTCTAAACAGCTTATTATAGTTTAAGAAATCTAGCAGTCCTAAGATGTCTGACTCCCTACATTTCTTGAATTTCTACTACTGCTGCCTATTAGAGTTTTCTTGATGATGAAAATGTTCTAAATCTGTGCTATCCAAAACAGTAATAATTAATCATATATTGTTATTAAGTATTTGAGATGTGACAAATAATACTGAGGAAGTATGTTTTAAATTTTGTTTAATTTTTATTTAAATTGCTACATGAAGCCAGTGTATTAGACAGGTCAAGTCTAAATTTAGAACCTTGATTTAAATGGAGCACTCCCTCTCCTGACCCCACTCACCTCTACTCAGGAGGACTTCTGCAGAGATCAGGGTCACATATAGCTGATAGGTCAACTGGGGCACTGAACCCAGGAAGGCTTGAATCTGTGACACACGCTTGTAGGCATTGCGATGCATAGCCAGAGTCCGGATGGAGTGGCCCACCTCCCATTCTATCAGCACTTCCTCACCATCTATTAGCATCTTCTTACGGGTGAGGCTGACATAGGGCTCCTCCTGCCCTTCTTTCTTCCACAGTGTGAGGTACTTTATCATGGCCTCCAAACATCTGCAGGAGTAAAGTATTATGGGAACTTAACTAAAGCTGTCCAGAGAAAGGGGTCTGTAATGAGGAAATACTTTGGGAGGTTGTGCTACTTTTTTATCATTTCCTCACTTCTATCCTAGGGGTTTCCTATGAGGGAAAGGGTTGGTCATGCCTTCTACAAGTTAATTTGAATCTAAGTTATTTTTGGTTGGTCACCTACTGACTTAAGTATATCATTTTGAAAGTACTTCTTTGAGGAAACAGAATTGTTTTGTTTCCCTTAGCAGCACAATTTGTAATAGCTAAATCTTGGAAACAACTCATATGTCCATCAACCAAGGAATGAATAAAAACTATGTGGTCTTTTTATAAAATGGAGTACTACTCAGCCATAAAGAAGGATAATCCTGACACATTTATAGGTAAATAGATGCAATTTGAGACCATACTCATAAATCAGACTCACATGTGTAAATATAACATTGTCTCACTGGAGTGAGAAACTGAAAGAGTAAATAAGGACCAAAATGTACAACAGATATTGTGAAATGGGAAGAAATTGTTCAAAAGCAAAGAGGAAATAGGGTGGGGGAAAGGGTAAAGGAAAGAAGGGACAAAAAAAAATAAGATATTATACTAGTATTTTTTCTTAATTCATTGAAAAGAAAGGTTTGTGCTAATATTGTTTGGAGAATTTCTTATGTCTATATTTTATACTGTAACTACTTTGCAGATAACAATACACAATGTACTAACTATTGTTATTTTCCTATTATTTTGTTATGAAATATTTTTCATAAAACAAAGAATACGCCCATGGTTTTTAAAACGTGCCTTGAACACAAAAGTATTATGGAAATACTGTATTCAGAGAGATGGAGTCTCTAGAAAGCCTGGGCTTTCATAACATCTTAAATTCTTAAAGTATTCTTTATTTAAAGTGCTCAGGTCCATAATCAGAATTTCAGTTTCTGATTTTTTTTTTTTTTAAGAAAGACCCATATTTGTGCCTCTCGACCTGTTTTGGACAACAGGTATTTTTACACCTGATTCATTCTTTACAAAGCGGAAAACATCTTTATGAGAACCTATCACCCTGAAAATAGTAAAAAGACTACACTTTCTGCTGTTCATTTTCCATTTACCCCTTATAATCAGAAGTCTCTAGTAGTTCTGATGCTGTGAATAGAAACAAACAGAACATCTTGTTTTGGAACATTTGAGTTACCCTTTCCCTTACTCACCCTGAAAAGAACAGAAACTGTGACCTATGTCTATGACAAGTAAGAACAATTGTGGTAGAAATTAAGACATTTTCCCCAATAGGCTGAGGGTAAGGGTTGTATTTATATGCCCTACATCACAATGGGAATTTGATAAATATTTGGTGAATAAATGAAAGAATGAGAAGAAAAAAATAGGCTGAATTATTTTGGAAAGGGAATAATAATGGCAATATGATTTAACAAAAAAAAAAAATAGATCAAAGATAAGTTTAGAGGTTTATGTCCTAAGTTTTGGCCTCTGATAGGAAGGTTTGGAATACAGTGGGCAGTATTCTCCATAAGATTTCCTCAAGTTTATTCATGTGTAGCACTCCAAAGTGTTAGAAACTTCCATTTTCTAAAGACAAACTCTAAGACATGGGAAAGAAAAAGAAGGAAAGAGATAACAAAGAAGAAAAAGGAATATTCTCTTTCTATTTAAGTAGAAGGTTTAAGTGCATTTTCAACAAAACATTTAGATTTTAACCCTAGCTCACCCACACTATTGCTAATTTATACTGGAGGAGGTGGTGACGTGAAATGCTCTGTTTATGCTTTATTTTATGGGAAAAGGTAAAATAACATTTCATAACAAGATTATAAAAGAATAAGAATAGGTAATATATTGCATACTATTCTCTTTAAAGTATTTTCTCAGAGCACAAGATAGGGCATAAAAAATTTTCCAATCAATATTGTGCTTCTATGCTTAAGGCTCTTCACTGGTTTGTATGAAAGTGTGCCTTCTGTATAAGCTTTAATAAACCAAAAGTCCATTTTCATTTCCAAAGCAATGGTACATTTCATGTAAGAGAGCTAACCTTAGAAACACCTTCATATGCCTGATAGCACTAATCTCACCTAAAATTTTTTACTTACCTAAAAATTGGCCTTGAAAGTAAGCATATAAAGAATATGATTTATGAGTTTTTAACATTTTCCCTGCTATGGGTTTAGGTGACTGAGGTTATAAATGCTTCCCAATCATTTCTTTCTTTTTTTCTTTCTTAATTCCTTTTTTTTTTTTTTTTTTTTTTTTGGTATTAGGAATTGAATTCATGGCTTGCGCTGCTGAGCTAAATCCCCAGCCTCCCAATCATTTCTAATGAAAGGTATACAAAAAAAATGGAAAAAAAAACAGTGAATAACACTCCATATAGTGGGCTCAGATCAAAGATGCCTTGAAAGGCTACAAAGCAGAAACACTAACAGGGAAAGAAGGAGAGGGAAAGAGAAAAGGAGAGAGAGAGAGAGAGATTTCTCAAAGCTGGGTGCTGGGTACTTGCTAGAATTTGCATGTTAAAAGTTCTTGATCTATTAACTCAGTATATTACATTTGAAAAGAAAGAGAAATGGTTACCTTGCTCCTCTAGTGACATCTTGAAATTTCTTGGTTGCAAATTCAAGATGAGTGAAGCCTTTCTTTTATAGTTTAACTTCAAAGATTTAAAATTCAAAAGGACCTTTAGATCACCAAGTCAAAAGATTTCATACGACCAACTAAGTTACAACCTGACCAGAAGATGTAGTTTGGTGTGTGTTGTTTTTAGTCACGTGCCAAAATTTAAAATCATGATATTTCATATAAAATCCTGTCTAGGGAGAGTCTCCTAAAACATTAGGAGATCTGGCTTTACTAGGTCTCAATTTCAACACAGAAACAAAGGGCCAAATCTGTAAAGTGTCTGGAATCCTCTACAGGCAGGTAATGGACTCTATATTGTCATGGTTCTTCTTATTTTTCCTTTTTCTAACACTGAGACTTTGTTTTCATTTATCATCTCACATGACATTATTGATTTTCTCATACTTGGCCCACTTCACTCATGTATGATACTTGCCAGGCCCCCTCACTTAGATTAGAGTAGTAGAACTCATTTAATTCACAGATGAAGGAACTGAGTCCCAAGGGATTTTCAGAGATCTCACTAAGGGCACACGACTAGTCAATGACAGAGAAAGAACTAGACATCAAGTCTCCTAATTCCCTACCACTGTTTTTTAGGCTTATTTTCTGTGCTAAACCTTAAGCAATGCTTTCCCATTGAAAGTGATACTGTAAATACTGTAATTTTTCAGCTATATGGAGATATAATTGAGAAATAAAAAGCGATATATAACTTTATAGAAAAAAAGTTTATAAAGAGAGGAGTTCCATCTTTTATCAGTTTCACAGTCCATTTATATATCTCTATTGAGATGCCTTCTATTACAGTTAATGACATCATCACTCTGACCCATCACCTCAGCTAACCGCAGGTATTTGTCACTCTTGCAATCATGACAAACTTGGTCCATTCCTTCCTCCTGATCTCATAAATTTTGCAATAGCACTCCACCTCATAGTATCCAGATGAGACTGCTTATACAGATGCATGTCTCCCTTGATTTTTATCCTTTCAAAGGAACTTAAATAAGAACACCTGACGCTATACACTGTGGTACTATATCCAGATAGACAACCTTCCCTTACCCCTTCCAAATATTTATCATTGTCACAGAAATATACAAAGAGATGAATACAACAGTGATGAAATAGGAAATAGGAGAGAACAATGAACTTCATCATGGCCAGGTACCAGTATACAGAAAATGTCGTAAAACTTTTGCAGATGTCAAATAATTTAAAATTTAAAAACAGCAGCATCTTTCTCCCATGAACTCAAAGTAAAATTGAATATGGGATGGAATGGAAGCAGGAAAGAATTTTTTTTCCAATTTAAAGAACATCTAAAATGCAGAATTAAAATTACACACACTCAGAATAGACTTGTAGCCCAGTGATAAGAGTGTCCAGCTAGCATGCCCAAAGCCTTGGATTCAATCCCCAGCACCACAAAAAATAAATGAACTCTGTAACTATGTTCTGCATACAAAGAGTGAGCATGTCTGTTGGTTCCATTTCAGTTTTTACAACAAAAAGTCAGACAGTAAGCGCTAAAGAAGCCTTATTGATGGTATCATTCATAGTTTGGGAACACAGGTACATACCACATGCTCATCATGGTAGCACTTAAAATTTCACTTAAGTTCATTTGGATTGTAAAAAGGGAAGCTAAGGGGGGGAATCAATTAGATTAGAGGCACAGTATTAGCCTGGTAAATATTAACATCATCTTTCTGTGTTTAGAGAAGGCAGGGAAATATTAAAAAATTGCTCACCTGATAACAGGTCCCAAAAGGATTAGATGCATAAATAATGATAGCGGCTTATCTTTGGCCAGATCTCTGTGGACAAAAATGAGGGTCAACTGCACCATAATAGATGAAAACATAAAGAAAGAAAATGTATATGTCATCCAGAATGTTTCATTATTCTTTTGATAGATTCTAATCATGTATAAGGCAGATGCAGCCTCGCCACAGTATAAAAAGGTGGAAAAGAGAATACCAAATGGAAAAGTAAAGCGGGGGCTGGCCCCTCGGATGACATCTTCCTCCACAGATGAAGCCTGCTCCATATTTGGCTCATCAGGAATTTCATAAACTCTATCCATTATGGAGATTTTGAGTGTTGTGCTCTAGTGTTCAGAGCATCCCCCAAACCATCCCCAAAAGAATCTTATAGCCCCTGCAGTCCACGTAGCAGTCAAGCTAGCTCTGTCAAGTTGAGTTCCAGAACCGAAGTCAGCTAATTAGGAGCCTCATCTCTTTTAGACTCAGTTGGAGTTAGAATGGAGAGCCCAGGAGTACCACTTTGAATTTGACTCTTGATTGGCTCCCAAATCCAGTTGTCAATATCTGTGCTCAGAAACTTGAATAAAATAAAAGCAAGCATCCCAGCGTCGCGTCTGGAGTCCAGTTTCAGGCATATGAAGAGGCTTGGGAGCAGCTGTTTCCGGGGAGGCTCCTTTCTCAGCGCCCTCCAGGCGAGAGGTTAGCCACTCCGTGGGGGCACTGACTCTGAACAGTTCCTTGTAAGGAATTCTGCCATCGTGTGCCTTCTAATGTCAGCAGAAAATGAGGCAGGGCAGAAGAGAGAGCGCAGCCTGAGAGTCCTCCGAGAGATTCAGCTCAGCATCTAGGTATCCCAGCTACTGCTACAGGTTATTTTGTCTAATTAGCTTGCTTTCTTGTCAGCTCACCCACGCGCTGTCTGGATGGCGCCTACTCAAGACTTCTAAGAGGGTGGCTCCTCGAATTCCCCAAGTCCCGCCTCAAGACAGCCAGGCTTGGGGAGGGAGTGACACCACAGTCCTGTTCGCGAGAGAGCATCATCTCGGGGAGAGAAACGGAGCACGTGCACACTAAAAGATGTTTTTTAAAAACGCTGGAGGGGCTTCTCAAAACAACTGCGAGAGAACGGCGCAACATGCTAAACTCTTGGGTGCCTTCTGCTGAGGAGTGTCGCCTGGCCGGCAGGTCCAGCATTAAGACATCAGAGGTTTCACCAGCTAAGGCACATGGAGAGCAGGACGGGCTACTGGGGCCCAAATAACTGGCCAGAGAGTTCCAGGACGACCAGCCAAAAGAGGCTCATTGTTGGGAGAGGCACGACAAAAAGGGACTTGGGCTACTCCTCAAGATTTCTCACCATGGCCCCCGAAACCAGGAGAGAACCACATGTTTCCTCTTCTCCAAGAAAAGTAGTCACTCATTTCTACCCCGCCCTCCCTGAGAGACTGGTTCCCACACCAGCTCAACCCACGCGGTTAGACAGGTGTGTCTGCCTGGGCCTCAGGGTTGAGCCTCCCTGGGTCCTATTGCCCTCCAGTTAACATCACAGGCAGGGGAACCTAGGAAGCAGTTGTGCAGTTTCCATTTCAAGCAAGATTGCCGCAAAGGGAAGATTGAACACTGTGGAGATCAAGACTTGAGGCCAGCTCACAGAAACTGAAAGCTAGTATTATGTGCCATGATTTCTCCATTTACAGAAATGAGGCCGATAGGAACTATGGAATGAAATTTCAGGTCTTTGGTTGAAAGGTTCTGAAAAGGTACCAAATTCTAAGTAGATTGGTGAGGAGTCCAAGAAGAGCTGCTAGCAAAAAAAAAAAAAAAAAAAAAAAAAGTGTTTTAGCTGCCTGGATTCTAAAGTATAGTCTGCCCTCACTTCACTGAGCTTTTGTTTTTATGCCTTATTTGCATAATTCTAAACCCCAGAGAAAAAGAGAAGACATCTCTTCTTAGTAATAATGTAAATGAAGCAAGGCCTGTGCCTGTCTCTTTTCCTTCAGAAAGTAAATAAAAAAGCATGGATGTGGAGTGGCCAAGTAGCAGCCACCAGCAAGTCTTCAAGATAGACTTAGTCTTGCCATTTGTACTGTTTTTTAAGGGTCTTTCAGTTGCTACCTCCTTTCCCCAGGGTTAATTAAGGGACAGATTCAGTATTTAAAAGTTCTTGCCTTGTGAATCAGATCCACAGCTTGGTCTGCACCTGTGTTTGCAGCTGGGCTAACAAGCTGATACTTCCTCCTTTCTGTTTCAGGAGGGAGCACAACTTCAGACAAACTGTTAATTACTGAAATGTTTCAACTGGTAGGAGGTTCACCACCAGCACTAAATGGTATACAACAATGATGGTGAACCTTTTAAAGCTTTCAATGATACAAACAGTCTGTTGCAAGACCAGTGCTGTGGGTTCATCCCCATGGGTACAGAACCTCTTGAGGCTGCTATAACAACCTGGTTGTAAAGTAGATCTAGGGTAAGCTGACCAACTCACTCTGTTCTGCTGTGATAGGATGAATTTTTCAGTCACCCTAACACAATGCAGCTAGAAAGGATGTAGAATCCCAGTGTTCTTTTAGCCCTTCTTTCTCGCTCGTGTTCCAAATACTCAGATCTACAATGCCTGCCTACTTTGTTTTGAAATAACTCCCTTTGTCTTCCATTCAAGCCTGTTTGTAATCACCACACTGCTTCACTCTCAAATTATAATCACCTTCATTACACTACCATGTACCTTTTGCTCCAGTTCACCAGGTTTTATTACTTTTTATATTCACCTTGCTCACTTCCACCTTTTGTGCCTTATTGATGTAGTTTGTAACTCCCTTCACTCCATTCTCTACTACCACAAACCCTCACCTGCACTGAAGGGTCAACTCAATTATGACCTCCTGCAGAAACCCTTTTCTTACAACCCTCACTTTCCTATTGTCATAGGCTCTCTTGTTCCAGTCTTTCAACTTTTTCTGTTTGTTCTGCTTTCCCAATACAAGAGTTAACTTACTGAGGAAAGTATGTTCAATTAATGTTTGTCGTGGCTCTTGTTGATGACAATGGTGAATGACAAACTGATTATGAGCCTTCCTCCCCCGTACTTCTTCCATGAAACCAAGTAAGACTCAGAAAGGCGCATCTCTAAAAGCTGTAGCTACTTTAGCTGAAGTATAAAGTCCTTTGGCTGAATGGGCACTGTCTTATTCAGCCCTTAGTTTTCAGAGGATGCCAGTCCATGTGACCTGTCCCTTCTCAGACATTTTTGTCAATACCAAAGTTTAGCAGCAAATTACAAATTGTTTCCAGTGTACTAATTTTAATGCCCCAACTAAATCATGATGGGCTCTGGAGTGCAGAGCTCCTGCTATAATTTTTATTGGATCCCCCTACTCCATGGCTGCTCTAGACCTGTAAATTTTCTACCATTTAATTCCTTTCATCCATCAGCTTCTCTATTTCCTACCCTAAGACTTTCTGGCACTTTACATCACTGCATCATCTGGTCTCTTATTTCCATGTTCCTTTGCCTTACTATAAAGAACTAACTGAAAATTTTCCCTGTTTCTAACACTTTGGTATTTCAGATAATCTCTAGATTTCAACTCTTTTAATCTTTTTTAGATGTGCAATTCTGGAAGTGTTTCTAGTCATGAGATTTCTGTGGTCCAAGAGCGCCTTCCCCATTAAAGTACTAGTCCGTCATGGGCAAGTAGATGGAGGTGATGTTCAAAGAATCTGAACAAGTGCTCAAGAGTCAATTGCCGCTTTGGGAAGCACCAGAATTCTCCAAGTTAGACCCAATATTTGACTCCTTAGCCTACTTTCAACCCCTGACAGCAGCAACCACAACAACAGCACAAAACAGGTTTAAAAGCTATCTGGTCAAAATACTCTTGTTATCTTGAGCAGCATTCAGAATTCTGCTGAACCATGTAAGATTTAGGGACACATTTGATGTTTCCAAGCCACAGTAACCTGAAGAAGATTGTTTTTGAGCCTCAAAGAGCTGCTTTATAAAAGGTGACTGGCATCCTCAAGGGAAGAGGAAAGGAAGGAAGTAGCTATGCAAAAATTGACTCATGTGCAGTTATACGTTGATGGAATGCAGTTATAGGTTGAATACAGGTTGATGGAAGGTAATAATCAAGGCCCAGAGAATCAAACTGGGATAGAAAGATGGTTTCCTTCCAAAGAATTCTTAGTGTGGATTATTAGAATTCTTTGATCTAAGGCAAAAATCAGTCATGTCCGTTAATCTTATTTCTGTTTACTGTATGTTCCTTGAAGACTTTTAGGTGTGTGTGTGTGTGTGTGTGTGTGTGTGTGTGTAATTACATGTTTGCATCATATGATGATTATATAGACTCTTGCCTTTAAGTTCTGGCCTATTCACTCAATCAGTATCATATATAGATTAGATCTGGGTCCAAAGTCAAAACACAAGTGAATTTTCTCCACAGCCCTTACACCTAACATTTTACTTCAAAAAATATAGTGAAATGAACATCTAAATTATCCTTGAGGAGAAAAAAATGCTGTCACAAACATGCAGCATGAAATTTGGAGATAATGATGTTGTCACACAGCTGGCAAGCTCTACTGAAATTGCCTGTGGAAGGAAGGAGTAGGAGAGGAGGACATAATGGGTATTATTTATTTTAAGATAGTAACTTTAAGACGGGGCCAAAGATGTAGCTAAGTGGCACAGCACCTGCCTGGTAAGGGCAAGGACCTGAGCTTCATTCCTAGTACAAAAAAATTAAGATATAAATCACATACCATATAATTTACACATCTAAAGTATACCATTTAGTAGTCTTATACAAAGTAATACAGCCATTGCCACAATATAGTTCCAGAACATTTCATTACCCCCCACAAAAGAAATCCATACCCATTAAGCGCTCCCTCACTTCCCTGCCCTCAACCCTAAGCAACCACTAATCTACTTTCTACGTCAATGAATTTCTCTAATTTGGACTATATTTCCTACTGCCAATAACACAATACCACAGATTGGATGGCTTAAGGAGAAAAGAGGCTTATTTTGGCTCACAGTTCTGGTCAAACAACAATGGGCTACATCTGGTGATAGTTTTCTTGTAGAGACCCAAAATGGCACAGGACATCATAGAAAGAGACAGGAAGTTTCTCTCCTCTCCTCTCCTCTCCTCTCCTCTCCCCTCCTCTCCCCTCCCCTCCCCTCCCCTCCCCTCTCCTCTTCTCTCCTGTTTCCCCTCCTCTCTCCCCTCTCCTCTCCCCTCCCCTCCCCTCCCCTCCTCTCCCCTCTCCTCTCCTCTCCTCTCTTCCTTCTCCTCCTCCTCCTCCTCCTCCTCCTTCTTCTTCTTCTTCTCTCTCTCTCTCTCTCTCTCTCTCTCTCTCTCTCTCTTCTCTCTCTGTCTCCCTCTTATAAAACCACCAGAATTCATTCATTAGACCACTATCCTACCAGTCTTGTCTAATCCTAATCACTCCCTAAAACCTCTGTCCCTAAACACCACAGTTTTAAAGTTCCTGTCCTCTTAATACTTCACAATGGGGGCTAAATTTCAACATGAAAACCTGGAAGATTTTCTATATCTATGGCAACTATATCCATGGCATGAACATTTCACATAAACTGGATCATACAGTATATGACCTTTTCTATGTTTTCAAGGCTCGATGACGCTATAGCATGTAACAACACTTCATTATTTTTTATGATGATTAATATGCTGCTGTACTGATAAACCACAGAGGAACAGAACTAAATGGGTGGCCAGCAGTTCTGAAAGTCAGGGAAAGTTGACAGGTTGGAAATTCAAGAAAGAGTTGATGTGTAGTCTACAGTTCAAATGTGGGAAACACAATTTCTATAATGCAATCTGGAGGCAGAGTTTTGTCTGCTTCAAGAAACCTTAGCTGTCACTCTTAGGCCTGCAGCAAATTGGAAGAAACCCAACCACATTATGGAGGATAAACTGTTTTACTCAGCATCAATTATTTTAGTGTTAATCACATCTGACAATACCTTTACAGGAATATCTATGCTGGTATGTGACCAAACAGCTGTGTACATGGGTAACCAAATCAACACATAAAATTAACTACAATAGGAAAGTTTGGACTTTTTGGCTCTTATGAATAAAACAATTAAGAATATTTGTGTACTGCTGTTTGTAGGAATATATGTTTTCCATTAAGTTGTGTATATCGCTACCAGTAAAATGCTAGATCATATGGTAACTATATGTAAACGTTTGAGCAACTCCCAAACTTTTTAAAAGTGGCACCAACATTTTTATATTTCCATCAGCTTTTCCAGTTTCTCCACATCTCCAACAACAGTTACATGGTTTTGATTATAGTTGGCCTAGTGGGTTTTGATTTGCATTTCTCTGGTACTGAAATACTTTGATTGATTAGTGTGTGTGTGTGTGTGTGTGTGTGTGTGTGTGTGTAATGGTATT